AGGTCGGACACGTCCCCTGACAAGCGCATCTTGGACGGAGTATTGAAAATAGTCTACACATCTTCAAATACAGAAAGCACACACAACAATTCGTCCCCATATCATGTTTTGGTTATCCTTGGGGGTAGTCCTCCTGCAGAGGGGTATGCCCGACTTCAGAGAAGGTCCGCCCCTCCTCGTCTTCCCCCCCCCCCCTGGGCGCGCCGCCGATCCCACGAAGGGTGCCGCCGAGAAGGCGGGCCCCCTCGGAGCCCCATCTCTCTCCCGCCAGCCCCCTGACGTCACGATATTGCCCGTCGGTCGTTGAAAGTAGGTATTTTTGGACTCCCAGATTCCATTCTACTTTGAGCGCCTTCCTACTTCAAGAGTCGAGTGGGTATCCCTCTTCCCTCCTCTTCAGGAGGCGGGCGGAAACCCAATCTATTTTCCAACGCCTTCCTACTTCATGTGTCTATCTACTTCTTCCGACCGATGGGTGTGCCTTTCGTCAGGGTATCTTGGGTTTCTTCGCTCCGCGCGCTGCGCGGCGACTTCCCGCGGCCATTGCTGCAGGAGCCAATGCGTTCGGAGTGCTCCAGGGCTCCCCTCCGGTGCACTTCGCGCGCGGGGCCTCAGGGTGGGGTCTCTTGCGAGGGTCTCTTGCGGCCGCGCTTGCACTGTATTCTCAAGTCGGGCCTGTCCCTCTGCAGGAGGCACATCCAAAAATAGTCATAACATAGCCTGGAGACGATTTGTTGAGTTCATCCTTTCTGATACCTTCTGAGGAAGTTTGGATTATTTTTTATGCTTCCTGCAAAATCCGCCTGTAGGAGGACATGGCCGACCTAACCCCAGACCCCTGACGCCATGATTTTACTCATGACGTCGACCCCCAGAGTTCTCGACACCCTCGTTCCGAGCACGCGTGCCCGAAGCCTTTTCGCAGCCCCTTCGAGGCTCTTTCGAACCCAAACCCCTGACGTCGTGATGTTGTTCATGATACGTCGACTCCTAGAGGTCTCGACCCATTTCCCCAGACCAGTTTTTCATCCTGAACCGTGTTTTGCACGGTCCCGAGGCCCGGGGAGGGCCCCCAGATGCCAGAAATAGCGAACAACCTCCCGTCGTGACTTTTCCATGACTCGAGGGGGTCTGGCTTCTCCATCTGAGCAGTTTTCTGCGACTTCGCAACAATACCGGAGGCCTTTCGAGCCTTTGAGAAGGCCCTCTCCCTTCTCGCCTCCCCCCACCCGGGGCTTGCCGCCGAACTCACGAGCTGCCACTGAAGGCCCGTCAAGGAACCCTTTTTCGTTGGGGAGGGGCTCAGTGCTCCTAACTGCCCTGCAGCTGGTCTCATGTTTTGTTCCTCCGGTCTTCTGTGGAACATCGAAGTTGCCTTTGTGGAGAAAGAAGGGGCCTCGTTCCTTCTTCAGGATTCCTTGTGGCAGCGCTTCTGCTGCACAGACAACTACCCTTGCATCCTTGCCTCCTCGCTCCATCCTTTCCCAATTTCGCTGGCCGTGCCCCGCCTGAAAAGCTTCGAAACGGCCTTCCGAGACCCTTTGCATCCTTTCTTATCGTGCATCCTTATATGATACGGGTCGACTGATCCCCGACGTCATGATTTTGTTCATGACGTCGACCCCCAGAGGTCTCGACCCATTCCCAGGTACCGGTTTTCCATTCTGAGACATTGTTCCCCGGTCCCAAGGCCCGGCGAGGGACCCCTGAGGCCAAAAATAGTGAGAAACCTCCTTGGTGATGTTTTCATGACTCGAGGGGGTCTGGGCATTTCGGGTTCCTTGTGACAGCGTTTCGGCCGTACCGCCACCTCCGGAGGGGCCTCGTTTCTTCCTGGCCATGAATGCACCCCAAGAGAAGTCCAGGGAGCAGCGGTATCCGTACCTCTTGGTGCCCCCAGAGGAGGAGGAGGAGGAGGAGGAGGAGGAGGAGGAGGAGGAGGAGGAGGAGGAGGAGGAGGAGGAGGAGAGGAGGAGGAGGAGGAGGAAGAGGAGGAGGAAGGGACATCGACAGTACAGTGATGGAGAGGAAAGCGGCATCGGTCCCTCTGCAGGGTTTCTTTGCGACAGCCACTCGACTGCACCGCCCCCTCCGCAGGAGGAGGAGGAGGAGGAGGAGGAGGAGGATGGAGGAGGATGAGGAGGAGGAGGAGCAGGAGGAGAGGAGGAGGAGGAGGATGAGGAGGAGGAGGAGCAGGAGCAGGAGGAGCAGGAGGAGGAGGAGTGGGAGGAGGAGGAGGAGGAGGAAGGAAGGACATCGACAGTAAAGTGATGGAGAAAAGCGGCATCGGTCCTTGGTGCCCCCAGAGGAGGAGCAGGAGGAGGAGGAGGAGGAGGAGGAGAAGGAGAAGGAGGAGGAGGAGGAGCAGCAGCAGGAGGAGGAGGAGGAGCAGGAGGAAGGAAACACATCGACAGTAGAGTGATGGAGGAAAAAATGCGGCATCGGCCCCTCTGCAGGGTTCCTTTGCGACGGCCACTCGACGGCACCGCCCCCTCCGCAGGAGGACGCCGCGCTCGGCCCCGCGCCGTCGCTGGGCGACGCAGGCTCCCGGGCGCTGCGGGCAGAGCTGGGCGCCGCCGAGGCTGCGGCGCCCCGCGCCTGGCCGGGGGAGCAGCGGCTGGCCGACCTCTTCTTCGAGGGCGGCGTCGGCGAGGAGCCCTCCGGGGAGGGGCAGGTGCCCTCTCCTCCTCCGCCTCCGCCTCCTCCTCCTCCTCCTCCTTCCTCGTCTTCCCCTGTCTGGGCCTCGTGGGATGCCCTCGTTACCACCTGAGGATTCGCCTCGAAATTCTCTAGTCAGAGAGCAACTGGGGAGAGGTCGGCGGAGTAGCGGTATCCGAACCTCTTGGAGTCCCTAGAGGAGGATGAGGAGGAGGAGGAGGAGGAGGAGGAGGAGGAGGAGGAGGAGGAGGCGGAGGCGGAGGGGGAGTTAGAGGAGGAGGAGGCGGAGGCCCGAGAAAAGGAAACCCGCAGGGCCTACGCCCCTGCTGCTGCCCCACCCCTTCTCTGGGCGCCACGGGGGAGAGCAGGGAAATCATCGGAAAACGCGGTCCCGAGCGCGGAGTCGACGATCGCGGCGGATAATTTCGGGGGAGAAAAAGAGTCTGCCACACAAGAATAGACACAGGCACCCTCCACTGGCTTGTGCCTGGGCCTCAGGGATGGGTGGCGGTGTGTATATTACCATTGAGAGCCAGCGACTTTGTACACCTTTCCCTCTCTGAAGGTACGTGCGAAGTTCGTCGGGGGGTCTGCGTGTATGTATGTATGCATGTAGGTCTGCATGCATGCATGCATGCATGCATGCGTGGAATTATGTGTGTATGTATGTGTGCATGCATGGAAGTGTGTATGTCTGTATGTATGTATGTATGTATGTATGTATGTATGCATGCATGCATGCATGCATGCATGCATGCATGTATGTATGTATGTGCGTATGTATGTATGTATGTATGTATGTATGTATGTGTATGTAGGTAAATGCGTTTGTGTGTATGCGTGCCCGTCTGTGTGTATGTATGCATGACTGTCTGTATGTATGGTTGTGTCTGTGTATATGCCTGTGTATGTGTCTATGTATGTGCATGTGTACGTGTATGTGCATGTGCATGTGGATGTGTGTGTGTGTGCAGGTGTATATGTGTGTATGTGTGTACGGGTGTAGGTGTATATGCGTGTATGTGTGTATGCGTGTATGTGTGTATGTGTGTATGTGTATGTGTCTGCGTTCATGTATACATATGTACATGTGTGTGCGTATAAAGATATCCGTGGCGTAAACAGATACCGATACCGCATCCCGTCCCTCGCTTTTCCCTTTTTGGGCCCGTTTCCCCCTTTTGGAGCCTCCTTGGATTCCCTCGTCGCCAGCACTGGACTCGCTTCGTAATTCTGGCCATGAACGCACCCCAGTGGCCGCCAGGGGAGTAGCGGTTTGCGTACAGATTGGTGTTCAAGATGATGATGATGAGGAGGAGGAGAAGGAGGAGGAGAAGGAAGAGGAGAAGGAGTGAGGACGAGGAGGAGGAGGAGGTGGAGGGATGAGGAGGAGGAGGAGGAGGAGAAAGAGTTAGAGAGAGGAGGAGGAGGAGGAGGAGGAGGAGGAGGAGGAGGAGGAGGAGGAGCAGCAGGGCCCACATCCCTGCTGCTGCTCCCCGCTCCGAGCGCCAGGGGTGGGCGAGTAGCATGGTTAACAGACGCGGCCCCGGGGGCCAGAATTGTACCCCTGCCGCCAGAAGGGGAGGAGGAGGAGGAGGAGGAGGAGGAGGAGGAGGAGGAGGAGAGGAGGAGGAGGAGGAGAAGGAGGAGGAGGAGGAGAGGAGGAGGAGGAGGAGGAGATGGATAATGAGGAGGAGGAGGAGAAGGAGAAGGAGGGGAGGAGGATGGAGACTGAGGAGGAGGAGGCGGCGGACGAGGAGGAGGAGGAGGCGGAGGAGGAGGAGAGGAAGGAGGAGGAGGAGAGGAAGGAGGAGGAGGAGGAGGAGGAGGTTGCGGGGTCGGAGCGCGAGCAGCGGCAAGGGGAAGTCGACGATGGCGCCCGAGGAGGGGCGGCGCGCCGCGGGGGCGCTGCTGCGGCAGCAGCCGCACTGCCTGGCCTTCGAGGGGCAGTTCGACCAGCACTGGGGCGCCGGCCCGGGCGCCTTCGGCCACAACGCGGACGTCAGGGGCCGCGATGCAGTCGGCCCGGATGCATAGGTCGACCCTGCCAAACCAAGGGTATTCGTGTGTCCTGTGTGTTCGCGACATATGCCTTCTACATTATTTTGGCAGTGTGGCCCTCGGAAGGGTCCTGTGTCCTCTCGCGTGTCCTCTCCAATCAATCCCGAGGGTGAAAGTGAGAGACGTGACGTGAGACGTGAGAGTTACCTCTCGCCAGAGTGATCTTTGGTGCGGGCCAAATGGGGCCCCCCGATCGCCGAACTCGAGGCGGCAGTGGCGTCTCGCGCTATTGTGTTTCGCCCCCCGGCGGCCCCCGAAAACCGCGCACCAAAGGTCACTCCTACCCAGGGTCACTCTTGCGTGCAACCGATAGGGAGGGATAGTAGGCTCACGATCGAATCACCAGACCCCCTCGAGCAGCGAACGGATCGTGCGCGAGACGGGAGGTGCTTGATAACTGTCTGCCTCCTGGGTCCCTTGCCGGGCCCGGGGACAACCAAAAACGACCAGGGATGAAAGCTCCGCGCTGCGACAAAAACACGACGTGGGGAGGCCTGGAACAGGTGGGATAGGATCAGGGGGGGCGCATCGACCCCGAATCGCTCATTCATCGCCGACACGGGGCGCTCCAACCTGCCCAGGAGCGTGCGGAGTCGCTGTCGGGGGCCTATCGGCGATCTATTGGCGATGTGTCGCCGATTTCAGGTCGACGTCCCCCCCCTCCCCCCTGCGCCAGTCCCCCCCTATCGTTGCCACCGAGGACACGATGGCGCCGCGCGGGGTGCCGCCGCAGGCGCTGGCGGTGCGGGCAAGGATCGAGGACGAGTTCGAGATCCAGACCGCGGACGGGGAGCACCGCCTCAGGAGCAGCCGCAGCAAGCTGTTCTTCCCCCTCGCCCCGGGGGCGGCCGAGTTCCAGGGCGGTTGGAGGGAGGCTCCGATCAGGAGGGGAAAGACCCACAGACACAATAAATCGTCGACCCCCAGGAAATTTGGGAAACCGTGGGAGGCTGCGGGGAAGACGAACATCCAGAACACGTGAGAAAATATATAGGGAATCCTGGGATTTGTGTGCATTTCTCTGTGTGTCCCAGGGCCCCACTCATCGGAGGCGGAACTTGCGGTCAGGACCTGCGGCTTCGCGTGTCGCGCCGGCGGCTTGTTGGTGCTTGCGGCTTCGCGTGTCGCGTCCGCGCGCTGCTTCTTGGCGCGACGCGCCATCTCCACGTCCCGGTGCCCCGAGGATTTCGACGTCCTCAGGCTTTCCCAGCCGCCCGCCCCGCGGAGCGGAGCGGCACGCCATCGGCTCGCAGGGCATAGCGTGTCGCCGTGGACGCCGCCGAGATGGGTTCCGCAGAAATTCCCGACCGCATGCCCATATCTACCAGATCCCGGCCCTCGGCTGGCTTCACCCAGAGATCGGGGCTGGAATTTCGTGGAAAAAGTATTGGCATCAACATGTAGACTCGGAGGTCAGCGCGGACGTCTTAAGGCGGAGCGCGCCAGGGGCGGCGCCGGAGGCGCCGCCAGGGGAGTCGCGCGGACCTCCGAGTTGTCATGTTTATGTCATTGTTTGTTCCCCTGGGAACGCACCACAGGAAAGGTCGGACCGAGGTATAAGATCGAGGTCGGTTCGGGGAGGGAACAGACATGCTTTTCGTGCTTGTCGCATGTTCTTGCGAATGCGTTGGGCAGGGTGACCCCCAGTGATCTTGTGGTTTGGGGTGTTTTGGCCGGCGGATGGCCTCGTGTTCTTGCAGGATGCTCTTCTGACGCTGAGGAGGAGGAGAAGGAGGAGGAGGAGAAGGAAGAGGACCAGTGTAAACCAATTGTCATCAACGATGTTGGAATTAACCCTCCCTCCAGGCTCCCTCGTCATAGGCCCCCACAGCGGTTCCTTTCCATTGAGGGAACTGCCCCGTTGGAAGACAACCATTTGAAGATACTGAAGCATGCTTGAATCTTGTTCTCTGGAATTTAACGCCACGTATCAAACTGACTGCTGCGTCTTGACGAACCGGAATCGTGCCAGAGCGCTATGTCTGGGAGTTCAACACCGCGAACCAACATAATTCATGCACCCGCATAATCCTGAATCTCTCCTACACATTATTCCTGGTACGTTGATCATGGGAATCCGTGAAACTCTTGCAACGTTTGAAAACTAATGTGCGCGGCGCTAGGGCGAGAGCCACTTTTTGAAAAGGAGCCGCCCTCAATCCGTGAAACTTTTGCAAATGTTGAAAACGAATGTGCGCGGCGCTAAGGCGAGAGGCACTTGTTGAAAAGGAGCCGGTTTCAAATCGTGAGGTTCTTGGTTGGTTTGAAAAGTGCATGTGCGCGGCGCTAAGGCGAGAGCCACATTTGGGAAACCATCCGCTTTCAATCCGTGAAATTGTTTGATTTTGTTCTAAACGGATGAAGATCTGGCAAATTATTCCAAATAGTGTGCGCGGCGGTAAGGCGAGAGCAACATTTTGAAAACGACTTGCCCTCGATCCGTGAAGCTCTTGCATTTTGTATAAACGAATGTGCGCGGCGCTGAGGCGAGAGCCACATTTTGAAAACAGCCCGCCCTCCATTTGTGGAACCGCTGTCACTTTGTTAAGTTTCAGAATCAGAAGTGGTGAGGAAGACTCAGGCGAAACGACCGGCCCGCCCTAAAAACTGGCCTCAGGGTGCGACAGGGAGGAGTTATCTATAAGGAAGAAAAAGGAGGCGATGGAGGAGGAGGAGGAGGAGGAGGAGGAGGAGGAGGAGGAGGAGGGAGGAGGGGAGGAGGAGGAGGAGGAGGAGGAGGAGGAGGAGGAGGAGGAGGAGGAGGAGGAGGAGGCGGAGAGGAGGAGGAGGAGGAGGAGGAGGAGGAGGAGGAGGAGGACAGGAGGAGGAGGAGGACCAGGAGGATGGAGGAGGAGAGGGGGAGCAGGAGGAGGAGCGACTTGTGTCGGTGTCTTCCTGCTCCTCTTGGAGGCGGGGCTGCCGCGGCCCCCGCCCTGGGGCGCGGGCGGCGCGGCGGGCCGGCAGTGAGAGAGCTCCGGGGTCGCGAGAGTCGCTGGCGCTGGCAGGGCAGGGGCGCCGTCGAGAGTTTGGCGGCCAGCCCCCTCCTTCTCCCTCATCCCCCTCCTCCTCCTCCTCCTCACTCCTCCTTCCTCCCCCTCCTCCTCCCCTTCATCCTCACCTTCCTCCGCATCCTCCTCCTTCTTCCTCCTTACCCTCCCCCTCCTCCTCCCCTTCCTCCTCCTCCTCCTCCTCCTCCTCCTCCTCCTCCTCCTTATCCTCCTCCTCTGCACCGTTGGCCGGATTTCACGGTCGGCGCTGTGCTCCCGTCGTTCAGGATTGCGCTTTCGCTCCAGCGCGGCCCTACTTCTGGATCGGAGTCCTTCATTGCCGATGTCGCCCCCCCGTTCCCACGCTCCGGCTTCCCCTAGTCCTCCAGCTTCTCCCGCTCCTCTGAGCCCTGCTCCTGTTGCTGCTGTTCCTTCTCGTCCTGCCCCCTCCTCATCTTCATCCGCTTCTGTATGCCCTCCTCCTCGAATGTACACTGGTCCCCTTCCTGGACTGCGCATAGCACAATGGGGTCCTTTTGAGGGTTCCATGTCCGCTATGACACCCGTCGGCGGATAGAGAGAAATCAGCGCGATGGGATTGGAAGGGTGAGATGGGAAAGTTGCCAGATGGCGCAAGTGCTCCTCGATGGTCCTAATCATTTCTCCCCTCTCCGCCTCTTGATCCCTCCCGCCTCTGCTCTCCTCATGTTCCCCAATTCCCTCACACTCTCCTTCCTCTGTTCTTCCTCCTCCTCTTCCTCCTCCTCCATCCACCGCTTGGTCCCTCCTCCTCCTCCTCCTCCTCCTCCTCCTCCTCCTCCTCCTTCCCCTCCTCCTACTCCTCCTCCTCCTCGTCCTCCTCTTCCTCTTCCTCCTCGTCCTCCTCCTCCTTCCTTCCCCCGTCCTCCTTGCAGCCGCGACTGCGCACACCGACGTGTGGTCTCATGGTACACGTGGCCCGCAGCCGGATGCCGCGGTCGCATCCGCCCCTCGCTTGGCTCGGGCAGGACCCCAGTAAGTACTGCCGCTGGCGCCTGCATCTCCGCACCGGTGAGGAGTCGCGGTGCCGATGGGGGTCAGACATCCGGGGGCGGCAAAAAGGGGGGCGATGATTAGGGGGGGGGATATCATGGCGTGGGCCATCGTGTTTCCCCAGATTTCATGGCGCCTCCTCTCATTTCACTGCGCCCCTCGCCCCCGCTTGGGCCGCGCACGTGCCGCCAGCCATGATTTGCACCCCACCCTGGGACGCCCCCCTCTGGGCCGCCTCCGAGACACGCTGCACAACACCGCGAAAGGCTCTCCCCTCGGTGGCCGCAGACAGAGCAGAGAGCCGGGCGCTCTCGTGCCGGTGCGGGGGCCTCGGCTCGGCGTGGGGCAGTACAGCGAGCGGCTTGAGTAAGGAACACGCACTTTTCAAGAGGGGCTCGGTCGTTCCTTTGGGTTTGCACGCGGCGTTCCGCTACCTTTTGGGCGGCGAGCCCCCCTGGTGTTCGTGCAGATTTTGGACGCGCGGGTCGGCGGTCCCTTCGGACTTCGTAGACTCACTTGGGAAGAAAGGGGCCTCGTTCCTTGTTTATCGTTCCTTAGGTCAGGCCGGTGACTGTAGTGCTCAAGAACGATCCCGCTCACGAGTAGGACTGGGGATATTGCAGCGCCACGTGCGCAACAAAAGAGCAGCACAGACCGGGCCAGCTCAGATCTCAAGCCTGTGCCCGAGGACGTTGATCAGAAGCGCCTGGCCGAGGTCGTCAACACCTTGGGAGAGCTCGGTAGCTGTAGCGACCGGCGTATCCCTTTTGCCAAGCATGTGCTTGTTGTTGGGCGCGACGCTATCAAGTTTTCATCTAGTCACCGAGTGGCCCTATACTGCGCAGGTGAACCCTACACCACTCGCACCAGCGCCCTCGCTAAACATCGAGAAATGCCATCAAGCCTTTCGGCTGTGGTCGATGGGGACCTGTCATCCCACCCAGGCGAGTTCTCGCTGAAGACCACGATGCCCGCGCCTGACCTGCCCGTCGAAAAGCTGGGCGAGATCCTCGAGGCCGTCGGCGCCGACGCCACGCTCACCAACAACTCATCTTGGCGGTCAGGGTGGGGCCCGTCCAGCCTGCTGCGCCGAAGCCTGGCGCGCGTCCTCCAGCGGAGGCGATCCCACCGCGGGCGCAGCAGCAGATTGCCCAGGAGACGGCAGTCTCCATGGGCGCCGCCGATCTCGACACGCTCAGGGATGTCGACCACGACCTCACGGGACGGAAGCCCCGTGCGGAGGAAAGAGAGGAGGAAGAGGAGGAGGAGGAGCAGGAGGAGGAGGAGGAGGAGGAGGAGGGGGAGGAGGAGGAGGAGGAGGAGGAGGAGAGGAGGAGGAGGGAGACGATGGAGGAGGAGGAGGAGGAGGGAGGAGGAGGAGGGAAGAGGAGGAGGGAGGAGGAGGAGGAGGAGGAGGGGGAGGAAGTCGAAATCCCTGCGGCTGCCAAGCCACAGCAGCCGCTTCCCCTGCCGAGCGCTGCCGTACCTTGCCAGTAGGGAGGATGGCAGGGCCGAGCACGCGGACCACGTGCTTCACGACTTGGCAGTCGATCAGGCCACACGGGTTGCCTCGAGCAGCCCGCGCAGCCGTGGGGGGGTACCATTCGCACTGCCAGGGTGCATTGTCTGAACGTCGGCTGCTACGCGATTTTGGTCATACGGACCTGTGGCCACACATCTCGACCAGCCAGGTAGTTCAATGCAGGTTGGCCATCCTGCCCAAACAGTTTCTCATGATGTCCACTCCGCGTGGCCCGCTTGTTCGCTTCTTTTTCTGGGCCAGCAAGATGGTCCTTCGAGCCATGATTCTCCGGTTCGTGTCTGTCGTTTCTTACCAAGTCAATTCCCGCGTTGTCCGCTCGCCGTTTCTCTGCCATCCAGGCGGTGGCGCGAATGTTGCCTGCGTTGCGTTTCGTCTCTCTCGCTCTCTCTGGGCTCCCGCGGGATGCGCAGCTTCCGTTGTACTTCGCATTCGTCTCCTCATATTCAGCGGCCTCGGCCTGTTCGATTCCGAATCTTGTGACGACGAATGTTTCTTCTCACAGCCCGTTGCAAGGCTTGCTCTGCTTGCCGTCCTGCAGTTACTCGACTGCGTCAGTGCATGTGCATCATGCGGCGCACTCACTGCTATCAGGTATGCAGCGCCCGGCAGCGCTACTTGGTTTGACGTGCAGGTCGGCTTGAAGCGTTGTCATCTTACAGGAGCGCGATTGAGCTTTCATCCTTCTCTCTGGGCAGTCCGGCGAACCCAACAGCAGTCGGACACTGGTCCCCGCCGAGTCACTGCTACGCGCCAAGAGCAGCCCGCGGTTCCTCAGAGACACATCGCGCGTCGGCCACCTCACGACGGGGCAGCCATTACTGAGTGTGCTGCTGGCCGCGCGATGAATCGTTTCATGCCGCGCGCCTGCGAACGCAGGTTCCTGCGTGCTCGTGCCGGTGGCTGGCTGACCACCATCTTGCGCCGCCTCCAGGGCTGCTCTTTGGCGGATGAGTTGGCACGTCTCTGTCCACCCATTTGCCGTCTTCATCCGCCGGGTGCTAACGATTCGACTGCTCCTCTCCTGGCTCGCTCGCTCTCCTCTTCACCCCCCCCCTTCCTCCTCCTCCTCCTCCTCCTCCTCCTCCTCCTCCTTCTCCTCCTCGTCCTCCCAATCCTCCTCCTCCTGAGGTTTCGCCTGCTCCTCCTTCTGCTCCTTCTACTCCTCCTCCTCCTCCTTCTTCTCCTCTTCCTCCTCCTCCTCCCCCTCCTCCTCCTCCTCCTCCTCCTCCTCCTCCTCCTCCTCCTTCTCCCCGTCCTCCTCCCCCTCCTCCCCCCCCTCCTCTGCCTGCCCCGTTTATCCTCCTCGTCATCCCTCTCCCCGTTTCTCTTCCCAGGCTTGGATCCAATCGCGTGGAGTTTTCTTTTTGCCACGCTGCGAGCTCTCTTTTTTAGGCCTGGTGACCACCTGGGTCCTGGACTTCGGGCGTCCACCATTGTCCTTCTTCGGTGGACTGGAAAAAGGCATGTCATCTGCGATGGCGCCATGCTTGCCTACGCGACCCATGTATGTGTATATATAGATGTGTACACATATACCGATGCACGTCAGAATGGGGGCCGAACCTGCTTACACCATCCCAGCTTCCGTGGTTGGAGCAGGATCCCGTGGCCCCGATTCTGCTTATTATTGAGCTCTCATGTCTCGGGAAAGGTTGCGTGGACCTCAGACAGTGTGCTAGAGCATACGATGCGGAACCATACATGTGGGGCAATCTGCGTGGTGCAAGATGTACGGTGCAAGCACTGCTGCGCAATCTGCGTTAGGCCGTGTCAAGGGAGTGTAGGTTTTGTGGTGCAGTCTGTGTGGAGCATGCTCTGCTGCGCAGCCTCTGTGGTGCAGCCTGGCTGCTGCAGTCTACGTGTTGCGGGATACGTGGTGCAGTCAGTCATACGCAGCCCATGCGGTGTAAGCCGTGTGGTGCCAGTTGCGTGTGGGATGCGTGGTGCAATCTACAGCCGGCCCGGATTCGTAGGTCGAGCATGCCGCTGCAGCATGCCGCTGCAGCGTGTTCTGTCTTTCCCGACCTGTGCAACCCGCATGTCTCTTGGGCGTTCTGGGACCGCGTTGCTTTCGGAAGAGTCTTGTGTCCTCTTGCATGTCCTGTTCAGTCTAGATGTGATGCACTAGATGTGGTGCAATCTACGTGGTGCGTTTCACGTGGTGCGACCTATGTGCTGCAAAACATGTAGTGCAAACTATGTCGTGTAATTGTGGTGCAACCTCTGTGGTAAAAGCTACGTGGGGCAATAGATCCAATGGCCTTCGGCACAGCACATCCCGCCATCGTGCTTAGGTTTTGGGTGTGAAGCCTTTAGGATTTGTGTTGGAATCTCGTCGGGGCTTCTCGGCGACATCTTGGAGACAGTTTGGACGCCTTCGGGGGGCCGTCGAGGGCCTCTTGTAG